ATAATAATAATAATAATAATAATAATAATAATAATAATAATAATAATGATAATTAAAAAACACATTTTCATTCTTCACATATGCCAGTTTGCTGTTTAACTAAGTTCTGCCCGAGACAGTTTATTCTGTTTATTCTCTGCTTGGAAACGAAGTACTTTAGAAATTAGGGAATTTTCAAATGAATCTGTTTTAAGCAGCCCAAATTTCACAATTTGGCTGGTCTATTATTTTTTTAAAAGTCACCTCAGGTTTATAAAAGGCCAAATTATTTGCACAAAGGGACATATTGTAGACTATACAGATAGTCCTCAACTTTAGTGGCTGTCTGAAACTACGTGGGTGCCGTATAAAGTCCAGTTCTCATACTTATGACCAATTCTCACATGTACGACTGTGGTGTTCCCTTAACCGTGATGATTTGCTTAGCAACTATTGTAACCATGTCGTGAAACAAGGTCAAACTGAACTTACGACCATGGGTCCCAATTCGACTTATGACTGCAATGGCTTTCCGTAGAGATTCCAACCCCAATTGCGATCATAAGTTGAGGACTAGTCGTGTGCATTGCACACCAGCCCTGTCTGCTTGGATTTTCAGAAAATAACAAAAGTATAGATGAGGGAATTGAAAAGGAATTTATTTATACCTTCCCTGCTGAGCTGTTGACTGTCGTCTTTGCCCAATCCACCAAGTTTTTTGATAAAGTAACCAGAAAGGGCAGGCAGAGAAAAACGCTGATAAAACATAAAACAGAGACAAAAAAAAATAAAAAATCAAGAGAAAGGAAATGACATAACATCATATTCCTTTCTATATATTCTGACAGAGGAAGGGGGCATTTGGAACCTTCCGATGAGAGTTGCCTCCGTTAACAATAGCAGTCGTATACAGGGGTGGGATTCAGCCGGTTTGGTCCAGTTTGGGTGAACCGGTAGTTCCGGTGATTAGTTGGCTCGGCCCACCTGCCCTTGCCCTAACCTGTCCTATATTTCCGTGTTTTGCTGTTCTGACCAAGGCTGATGGAGACACTAACAAACACATGTTAGTCCCAAAACCCTTTTTTTCTTTATTTCAACAGCTGTGAATTTCAGTCATTCACAGCCCGTAATGAGTCTCAAACAGTTTGTCAACAGTCCCATGGAAGTCTGCCAAAGCCCTTCAGGATAAGTCTGATAAGCACGCACCTTTATCTTCCTTGAAATGCTGCCAACGACTAAATGTCCCGTTAGTTATACAAGCACAAATTCAACACGGTGCTTCAGGTTTCAAACCGATCAGTATGAACAAAGTTGCTTCCTGCAAAGGCTCCTGTCCCTTTGCTCCCCTTTTATGTCTTATGGGAGGGCCAATCACCTCCAAGCCTTACTCCCGAGACACTCCTTTTGTCTTAACTGTTCTTGCCTTCTGGCAGCTCTGCGCAAGCACGCGCTGGGAACAGACTCCCCTTGTTCCTCTGTCTTTCTGCTGCCAGATTCTGGAGGCTCTGGAGTCAGCACACAACTCCCAGTTGGCCCTGGTCCCATTTCTGTATCGGATGCAGGACCCTCGTCCGAGTCCTCCCCGCCAGACTGGGCCATGTTCCTCCCCACTATCCAACTCTGCTGCCGTTTCTGCAGGCTGCCGGTGGAGCACAACATTTGCAGCCTAGCTGATTCACACAGCATAGTGGAATTGCTGCGCCTGAGATGTTTTACTCACTCAATGCGCGCTCACCAAACCATTTGTTACACCTGTTGAATCCCACCCCTGGTTGTATAAGCAAGGACTCCCTGTACAAATACACCCCATCAACAATGATCTGGCCTTGAAACAAACCAACAAAAAGGCATTTATCTTCAAGAGTAATTCCAGGGAAGAGGAGTGGATTCTTTAATCATCTCATCAATACAAATTTAAGACTAAGAAACACCCGAGGAGAATTAAACATTCAGAAGGGCTCCAAACATTTTCTTGCTAAACCGCCGGGAGGAAGTGGTTTCCCCCTTCATTTTAACAACCTAGTGGTTGATGCTGCCTTCGCTATTGTTTTTATAGTTGCAGTTCCTCCTTAGCGGAAGTTCTCAAGCCCTTTGCAAATACAAGTTAATTACAACGAGCCAGCTCCAACCGATGAGTCCTAGCTGTGCTTGGGTGTGTTTGTGTGCAAGAGAAAAAAAAGCACCAAACATTTGTAAAAGCCTCAGCTAGTAGTCAAAACAACAGTCCCCCCCCCTTTTTTTTTCTTCCTCTCCTAACCTTCTCCAACCATGGGCTGGTTGTTTAAAAAGGGGGAAAGGTGAGGGAGATACAGATAACCTTTTCTGGGGGAAATTCCCAAGACAAACAAATCTCTTTTGTGTCAACAGTAGCCATCATTTTAATGACCTCGGCTTCCAGGCAGCAGCCAGAGGAAAAAAAGAAAAAAAAAGGGTGAAAGAAAAGAAAAGAAAGCTCATTCTTGAGAAGAATTGGAGGCTGACTTTTTTTTCCTGGAAAGTCTTGAATGCCCTCTAAATTAGAGCCATGTGTTTCCTTATGGCTCCAAAGCTGTTTCCCCCACACCATCACTAGGCCAGCCTCCCCGGTTCGAAGTATCCTGTTAAAGCAGAGAATTGCAAAGGCAGGCAAGGAAAAACAAAACAACAACCAGTAATGACATTGGAAAAGTGGCATTTACTTCTGCTGAAAGAAGTTGGTGATTTCAGGGGAATTTTTTGCTTGCCTTGATAAAGCACACCACCCTAGTAAATAAATCATTAGATCTTCATTTTAATTCAGGCATCAGGATCTAGTCCTGCTTTAGGCATGAAAGCCAATTGGGTGACTTTGAGCCAATTACTGGGCGACAGTGAGTTCTAGTCCTGACTTAAGACACGAAAGCCAGATGGATGACTTTGGGCCAGACACTTTGTCTCAGCCCAACCCACCTCACAGGGTTATTGTTGTGGATAAAATAGGAAGAGGAAGGAGTTTTTATGTAGGTCTGCTCTCTTGTGTTACTTACGGTATAAAGTAATAAATTTGGGAAATAAAAAAAGAAATACAATTGGGCTTTTCCCTTGTTATGCTCCTGTTTGGTTCTTCTGTGACTTATTTAGCCCCAGTACTGGACTCCTTGTTCTATGAAGCCTGCCATATAAAACACAATTTCCTAGACCTAGCCACCCCACCAGATGGATAAACTTCAGTGACTTACATGTTTGAAGGTCTTTCGGAGATGTTTGAACTGCAGGTAATACCGGTAAAAATGGAGCTGATCCACATCATGCAAAATTACCACCATGACACCAGCCAAATGCCTTTGATGGTGGATACGACACCAACTGTACCACAAAGGACCACGATTATCTTTTATGTTCCTTTAACCAGCCAAGACCATAGAAATCTATTTCTCAGTTATTCTACTGGTTTCTAAACATTTAGGAAACAGAAATCCTGGCTCTCCAGGGAATGATCTAGCACAGGGATCTTCAAACTTTGACAGCTTTAAGACTTGGGGACTTCAACTCCCAGAATTCCTCCTCCAGTCCTTTTGGCTCAGGAATTCTGGGAGTTGAAGTCCACAAGTCTTAAACTTGCCAAGTTTGAAGACCCTTGATCTAGCAGGTGGTATGGCAGGTATGGATCTCATAGATCGAGGATTTCCAAACTTGGCAACTTTTAAGACTTGTGGACTTCAACTCCCAGAATTCCTTAGCCAAGATGGGTTTGTTTGGTTGGCTTTTGAAACCTGATCGTTGATAGGGGAATAACTTGCGACTTTCAACTCCCAGAATTCTCCAGCCAGCACAGCTGGTTATTGGTTAAGGAATTCTGGGAGTTGAGGTCCACAAGTCTTAAAAGTTGCCATGTTTGGAGATCCAGGTCTCAACGTTGTCTGAATGAGCCTAAGCCATCTTAGTGGACTGAATTAAGCTAAGTCACCTTAACCATGATAGATGGTTTAGTGCAATGTATGAATCCAGCTTACGGGTAGCTGATTCAAGAAATCACGGTTAAATTACTCACGGTTTCGTGAAGGAGGCTAATCCAACCCTCATCACCACTGTAATGACTACCGCATTGGGCTATCAACACGCGAAACAATTTGTTAGAACTTGAGAATTAGGCAAATATTTCAGTACAGGCATTTCTCGACTTAAGGACCACAATCGAGTCCAACATTTCTGTTGCTAAACAAGACAATATTGAGTGAGTTTTGCCCCATTTTACGGCCTTTCTTGCCCCAGCTGTTAAGTGAATCACTGCAATTGTTATATTAGTAACGCGATTGTTAAAGTGAATCGTGCTCTCCCTGTCGATTTTGCCTGTCAGAAGGTCCCAAAACAGGGACACTTGGGACACTGCAACCGTCATGAGTCGGTTGCTAAAGCGGTTGAATTTTGATCGTGTGACTATGGGAATGCTGCAATGGTTAGGTGTGAAAAACGGTCATCAGTCACTTTTTTCAATGCCGCTTAACTTCAAACGGTCCCTAAACGAAGCATTATAAGTCAAGGACTATGAACATTTAAGTGTCAGGGCTCCGGCAGTTATCCCCAATTAAATCATGAGTCTCGAGCCAAACTTCCAAAACTTAAAAAAGGATTTATTGAGCGTTAACATGCCGGCGCTGCCTGGGTGTAGCCGACTCTGAGACACATCATTCATTATCATCCTTGACCCTGGTTTTCCCCACCCCCTGGGTGTATCGTAATTCATATTCTCCAATGGGACACCTCCCTAGCCAAGAGTCATCAATCATACTCTCCAGTTAGAATTTTCACAGCAGAAACTTCGGTCTCTTAGAAACTATCTTTGAAAACATTTATGGAATGCAAGCTGCCCACTGCTCCCCCCCCCTTTCTGTTGGCAATTCTAAAAAAACCATAGAAATATTTTATGAGTTGACATTAAGGTGGATAAGGTTCCATAAGGTTAAGAGCACATTTACCTGGGCTGAGTGACATTGTGATGTTTTCCCTGTGTGGCATACTTGAGAAACTCACACAGTTGCTCATAGCTGATTTGTCCTTCTCCAAACATTTGAGTAGACAAACTGGGTGTCTTCACCTTGGAAACCAAGAGAATTGACTCAGAACTCGAGTGTTTACATTCCCCCTACAGAAAGAATAACAAAACAAAAAATGTTTGGAAAAGGCACAAACTAAAACAGAGCCCAGAAAAACATTTGGAAAACTCCACCCAATACGTTAATTGGTAATTTTTTTTTATATAATGGGAATGATAAACTAAAACATGCCACAATGGAAAATCCTAAACAAATCTTACTTCACTGGAAAGTTTAATTTTCTGATGCTTTGACTGAATGTCATTTTTCTCAATCTTTCTCTTTTTTTTAGCCTTCCGGTTGTGTCCTCCAGTTTCATCATCTTCATAACACCTTTTCTTTACAACTCCATCAGTTGGTGCAACCATTTTATTTATAAATCTCTCTTCCAGTGGAATTTATCTGTTAAACAAAAAGAGCTTCACAGAAAAGAATTTTAAAAATTAACAAATTAATGGAAAGCAAGGCAACTGGCAATGTTGGAACACTTATAATTGGAGCAATACTAACAAGTTGAAATGCTACTTAATTTTGTTTAGGGTTTGAACGAGGGTGAATTACTTATTTATCTACTATCTATTTATATCTGTTTATATCCATATCTATATATCATCCATCAATATCTACTCTAGTCTAATCCAATCTAATTTTATTGCTGCCCATTTGCATTTCACCATGCAAATATGATTTTTTTTCCACCGTAGGAAGTTAGCACCCACCCCTCTCCTAGAAAATTGAAATAGCCTAGGGAATATTAAAAAGGCAGAATATTTCCTCTAAAAGGAGTAGAAGCTCACCTCAGAAGCAGAATCTCACCCCCATCTTTGTTAATGGGTGGGCCATTAAGGCCTGGGTCAGAATACTTTACATAACAAGGAACGCCAGGTAAAGCTATAGCAATTGCCAAAAGCCCTTTTAAGGGCATAAATCATCCAGCCAAGGCTAGACCAAGCCTGGAACTCAGGACAGTCTAGAGTTGCCCCTGGGAGTCTGACAATCAATGGGATACATTTCTTACACAGGAACAGGAAAAACCCAGGCACTCTCAGCAACCGAACTCTTCTGGACCTTCTCTTCTCATCCTTTTTATTGATCTCTTCCCTTTCACTCGGGAGCTCCAGGCCATGTGGACCTGTCCACCATTAAACCTTCCATGCAGCCTCCATGTTTCCAGTGTCTTTTTCCCCACTTGGAACTGAACCCAGAAGGATATTTCTTTCAACACCACGATACAGTAATACGACTTCCTTCATTATGTTATAAGAATAATTTAATTTTAGAATGAGTAACATAAATAAATAACTCTGGAACATGTTTAACGTTCATTCTAATGGAACATCAAATCTCCTTGATAAAAGGAGTCTTAATTAAATCTGCATTTCATGTAATATTAATAGCAAGGTCTTGTGGTATTACATATTCTACCTTAATTTATTCTAATCCAATTGAATGAGAACAGTAAATAAGAGCAGCAGCAGCAGCAGCTACATTATATGCTATTCCATAAACATGGACTAAAGCTGTTTTCCAAACTTGGCAACTTTAAAGTGGGTGGACTTCAACTCCCGGAATTCCTCTGGCACACACACCCCCAATGCTCGCAGGGAACTCTGGGACTTGAAGTCCACATACCTTAAAGTGGCTAAATCTGGAAAGCATTGGATTGACACAACAACTCGCAGGATGTAAAATGAAGTCCATCATGATGTAAAAATAGAGGATGCAGCTCTCAGCACCCTCTTTGAACCCAGCGTCGCCTGCGGGGCAGCAGCTCCCATTGTTGCAGCAGATCCTGCTTCCAAATCAGGACACAAGACCACGAAAGGTTGGAGAATACAGGTTTATTTGTGCACAAGGTTCAGAGCATTAACATGGCAAATTCTGAACCCCTGGCTCTTCCTGAAGCGTCACTTTTATACATTTCATGACCTCAGTCTAGCCCGGGGCGTTTCTCTTATTAAACTATACCATAAAAGGAAACTAACATGTATACCAGAAAAGAAGTACATTTAATTATTCATTTTATCTTACACCACCTGCTATTTTCTATATCCATCCTTGTTTACTGGAACATGGCTAGTTCCTTGGTTCAGTAACTTTGTAGTTTTGCACAATATTTTATTAAGCAAAGCTTGGGGGCTTGGGGACTTCTGCTAAATGTAAAAATACTTTATTTGTAATTTTTCACTGCTTCACCATAATCCCCAACCATATGGGAGATGAGCAAGTTCCCCTTAATTTTAAATCTGGGGGTGGTGGTGGTATGGGGATTAGGGGGTCCAGCAGTGTAAAAGCGGCAGGTTTAAAGCCCGGAAAGCAGGCTGCTCTAAACTGGCACCTGGACCGGTCCTTTGGTTACATCCGTGCAATTCTCTAGGGTTTGCAACCACCTGCGAGCCTGCAAACACGTGTAACGGAGAGTTGCAATCTTCCTTCTCTCCCTTGCAAGCCTCCCAACAATTAAACTCAGAACGCCTTCCCTTGCAAATATCCACTCCCCATTAAAAAAAAGTGGGGAGGAAAGCGGGGGGGGAATGAAGATAGTGGAAAGCCTGACCTGTATTCTACTCCTGCGTAAGCCCTTCCGCAATCGAGGATTATCTTTGCTCGGCAATCGTCTGCCCGGACCTGAGCTCTCTCTTCCCTTCCCCTCCCCGCATCGCAGCCGAGCTTTAGACGAGGAAGCGCCCTGTGCGAGAAGAGCGGATTCCAAGGCGGGCAGACCTTCTAAGTCGATCGGCCGAAAGCATCGAGGGGAGGAGGAGGAGGAGGAGGAGGCGGGGCTTGCTCGGCGGCGGGCTATTTGAAATGGCGGCCGGCGGGTAGAGCGCTCTGGGTGGGGCCGGGGCGCGGGGCGGCGGTTGCCATGGCGACGAGGCAGCTGGCCAGGTAAGGGGCCCAGGGAGCGTCGACCTTTCAGTCAGTTAGGGCTTCAAGGGAGACGGACCTCCGTTTGGACCGAGGTGTAGGATAGACTCAGGGGTCTTCAAACTTGGCAAGTTTAAGACTTGTGGACTTCAACTCCCAGAATTCCTGAGCTAACATGGCTGGAAGAGGAATTCTGGGAGTTGAAGTCCACAAGTCTTAAAGCTGTCAAGTTTGAAGACCCCTGGTAGAGGTCTCCAGTTTTGGCCCCTTTAAGACTTCTGGACTTCAATTCCCAGAATCCCCCGGGGAAGCATGAACACCCCCCCCAACTCATTAAAATGCAACAACCTTAAATCAGGGGTGTCCAACCTTGGCAACTTTTAAAATTTGGGGACCTCAAACTCCCAGAATTCCCCCTGTACCTTTGGAGCAGGGTTTCTCCAACCCTGGGCAACTTTCCAGCAGAGCTACTGGGGAATTCTGGGAGTGGAAGTCCACAAGTCGCCACGGGAAAATACCAACAGGAATGGCCTTGAATTATTACATCCTAATGGGAACTTTGTTTTAATGCTGTCACATTTGCATAACAAATTTTATCTGTTTATCTGATAGGCAGCTAGGCATTATTCAGAGTGTTTTCAAACCTCCCGATGGCCAAAGTCACAACCAATGCAAGCTGCGTGAGTATTCCCCTTATTTCATAAAAATTCAGTGTTTGTTATTATTTGTGGGTTATGACACCGAGATAAATATATGACTTTTGGGGGGGTTTTGCAGGGCAGCTGTTCGACTACTTAATAATTATTGATTTTGAGTCTACCTGCTGGAAGGATATCCGAAGATGTCAAGAAATAAGTAAGCCAAGCTTTAATCTTTTCAACAATTGCTTCCATATGAATTGGGATAATAAACAAAGAGAAAGCTTGAACATAATTCATTCAAATGCAGGAAGTCATCTAGCTATTCATTTAATGATGTTCAAAATTACAATGGCACTTAGAAAAATGACTTATGATTGTTTTTCATACTTACAACCATTGCAATATTTAATATTAATAAATATAATATATTTATGACGGTTGCATTTTCCCAGGGTCACCTTTTGCGATCTTCTGAAGAGTAAAATCAGTAGGAAGGCTAACTTAAGAACTGCAGTGATTAATTTAACAACTGTGGCAAGAAAGGTCGTAAAGTAGAGCAGAACTCACGTAATAAATATTTCACTTAGCAACAGAAATTTGGGGTTCAGTTGTGGTCGTAAGTTGAGAACTACCTATAATCTTTTATTTATTTATCGGCATAGTTGAATTTCCAGCAGTTCTCTTGAACACCTTAAATGGAGAAATTGAGACTGAATTTCATATGTACGTCCAGCCCCAGGAACATCCGACTCTCTCTGAATTTTGTATTGAGCTAACTGGAATAAAACAGGTATAATTTCAATAGATTGTGGTCAGAGTTATTAGTTTCATTTTGTTTTGAAGCATTAACTTTTGATGAATGTTCTTAAAGGAAGGAATTTGCTTGCTGGCTTGAATATGTTTCTTTTATCACCACAATATGACTTTTCTTTGATGCTCCAAACCTATAGCAAGCACTGAAAAAGTTTTCGTTTTCATTCATTCATTTTTAAATGAACAATTCAAGTTCTTTTCTGTTTTCAGCTGTTCATTTCTATTCATTAAGGTGGGCCTAATATATATATTAATTGAATGCCAGTGGGCAGTCTTGGAAATCAAAATCAAAATGGATATATATTGGTTTCTTTCACCATTTTGTGTATTAGACTTCTTGTTTTTATTTTGCTTCTTATACAATGCCTGGATAATTTTACTTTATGGCCCGTTCAGAAATATCAATATCAGTGTTGATAAAACCAAATCTAAATCTAGATTCTAAATGTTATCAGCAAGATATTTTTCTTTTGTCTTCAAGCATCAAGTTGATGAAGGAGTTCCACTGCATATAAGCCTATCCCAATTTTCTAAATGGATTTACAAGATCCAGAAGGAGAAAAACATTGTTTTTGGTTCGACTTGTGCTGCTCCCAAAGAAAAATTATGTGCCTTTGTTACGTGGTCAGGTAATTCATGTTTATCTACATTATCTATGTTAAAGTTTGCTTGTTCTTCATTGCTGGCCCTGTTGAAGATTAAAGCCTGTGGTCTCCCTGATAATAAAATGGAAAAACTGTTATTTTGTGATGGTTTTTGACTCTTGAGTCCACCTGGGACTCTGGAATATTCAAATAATAACCATAATCTGTCTTCTGCTTGGGTTTTTGAGACCAGCCATCATTGGCTATATTTCTATACAGTATTGGAAGGGACCTTGGAGGTCTTCTAGTCCAACCCCCAACTTAGGCAGGAAACCCTACACCACTTCAGACAAATAGTTGTCCAATTTCTTCTTAAAAACTTCCAGTGTTGGAGCATTCACAACTTCTGGAGGCAAGCAGTTCCACAGGCTTTAACAATTAGTTACATTTCCATTGCTCTATGAACCTGGATAATTGTCATATACGCTTCACAACAGACAGGACTAAATAGACAGCTTCTCTTGTTTATTGGCCTTCATGTTTCTATTGCACGAAATCATGATTGTTACACAAAAAGAAAACTTCACACCAAGAGTGGAAAATTATGGATCAGGAAACCGGAAACCTTTGTAAACCTTTGTTTTTATGTAGACTGGGACCTGGGAATTTGCCTGCACTATGAATGTAAAAGAAAACAGCTACGGAAGCCTAATATTTTAAATTCTTGGATTGACCTACGGGCCACTTACAAGGTGAGAGTATTTGCCTCTGGTAGTCATCATGACAAGAAAATATACATATAATTTGTTTGCTTGTTTGTTTATATTTCACTCTTCTTAGCGAGGCGGCATCCTATTTAATCCAGATACATCCAGCTGTCTTAATGTTGTCAAGGCTAGGAAAACACTGGCCTAAAGAGCCTGCAGCAATTTATATTTAGTTGAGCAAAACAGCAGATATAATGAGGGTTTTGTTTTCATCCTTTTTTTCCTCAGAGCTTTTACTCTAGGAAGCCTCAAGGTTTAAACGGCGCATTGAAAGACGTGGGTATTACTTTTGAAGGACGAGAACACTCTGGTGAGTGAGTATTTATATGTACGTATGACAAAGGAACCCCTGAAAAAACAGGGATGTGGGTCTTATATTTATGCAGGAAAAGGCTGGCAACCGTTGAAGAGAGTTAAAATGAATTGGAGCTGAATGCAATTTAATTGGACTTCAATATATAACGTTGCCACATGTAACTTTATATATTATAGTCTAATACAGCACAGTCCACGCTGACCTCTTTGTGTGTGAGATCTCTTAACTAAAATTAACTTACCTTTCTCACTTCCTGCTTGAACTGAGTTTCCATACCTTGAAATCAAGTTAGTCCTCAGCTTAAGACAATCGAGACCAAAATTTCCGTTCCTAAACCAGGCGGGTTAGGCGAGTTTGGGAGCCATTTTATGACCTTTCTTGCTGTCATCGTTAAGTGAACCACCGCAGTTGTTAATAATATGGTTGTTAAATCTGGCTTCCCCATTGACTTTGCTTGTCATAAAGAAGCCACTGCAACCGTCGTAATTATGAGTCAGTTGCCCAGCATCTGAATTTTGATCAGGTGACCATGGGGAGATGCTGCAACAGTCGTAAGTGTGAAAAATGGTCATGTCACTTTTTTTTCCCATTGACTTTGTGATTTTTGAACGGTCACCAAATGAACTGTTGTAAGTCGAGAATTACCTTTAGAAGATGAAGAGGGACCTGGCTTTGGAAATTGCTATCGGTATTATTAACTTAGCTTGGGATGCCAGGGAGAGTAGTCCAACAACGCTGTCCAACCATTTACGAAGTCTGCACTACTATTACTACTAATCTTCTCATCACTCCTTCTCATCCATTCCCCCCCACTTGTGACTGTATGACTGTAACTTTGTCGCTTGCATCCTTACAATTTATATTGACTGTTTCCTAGTATGATTTGGTTGCTTATTGTACCCTATGACTATTATTAAGTGTTGTACCTGATGATTCTTGACTCTTGACGAATGTATCTTTTCTTTTATGTACACTGAGAGCATTTGCACCAAGAGAAATTCCTTGTGTGTCCAATCACACTTGGCCAATAAAGAATTCTATTCTATTCTATTCTATTCTATTCTATTCTATTCTATTCTATTCTATTCTATTCTATTCTTATTCTTATTCTTATTCTTATTCCCTTTCCTTTCCTTTCCTTTCCTTCCTTTTCTTTTCTTTTCTTATTCCCATTCCCATTCCATTCCATCCTATCCTAACTTATCATATTCTCTTCTCTTCTCTTCTCTTCTCTTCTCTTCTCTTCTCTTCTCTTCTCTTCTCTTCTCTTCTCTTCTCTTCTCTTCTCTTCTCTTCTTTATTCCAATATTCAATTTGACTGTTTCCTAGGATGATTTGATTGCTTATTGTAACCTATAATTATCATTAGTGTTGTCCCTTATGATTCTTGAGTCTTGACGAATGTATCTTTTCTTTCATGAACACTGAGAAGAGTATTTGCACCAAGACAAATTCCTTGTGTGTCCACACTTGGCCAATAAAGAAGAAAGGGAAGGAAGGAAGGACAAATAAATTTATTGATCCTTTCTACTAGCAACGCCATCTCTTGTTTCCCACAGGCCTGGATGATTCTCGGAATACAGCTCGACTCGCTTGGAAGATGATTCGTGATGGGTGTGTAATGAAAATCACAAAATCGTTGGATGAGGTTAGTAGGTTCTCTCCTTGGAGCCCATAACTGGTCAACGTTTGACCCAGCGAGATTTTGCGGACAGAACTTTTGACTTGGGAACCTTGTTTGAAGCTCTGCTGGCCTGGCGATTGGCTGACCTCCTTTCTTTATGGAATCCTTAGGCGCCTCCAGCGAAGAATTCCATGGCCAGGTTTGGGGGCGAGAATCCTACCCATGGTGGCCCTTTGGGAACCAACCCTCTTGTCAAAGCATCAGCGTTGGGCGGAAGCGAAAAGGAAGCTGCTCCAGAAATCAAGAGAAAAGAAGAAGATCCGCCACAAGAGACGGTTCACGTTGGCTTGTTGGAGGACACACCTGTTACATCTAGAAAGAGCGAAAAGACTGATGAATGTTGTAGCACCAAAATGAACTTAACCTTGTCCATAGAAAGGCCCCGCTGGGCTCTGGGTAATCTTCAGCACCCTCGCTGTGGACCCTCAGGCCTTCAGAGTTGGGGAAACAAGGGCCAACTTATTCCAAACCCTTCTACGCCCAACCGAAGGCTCGTTTTGGTCCCCACCACTCTGTCCACCGTCAACATTTCCGAGACCGACATCAGCACCACTCCAGATTGTCTCTCGATGTTGGCCGACTGGGAAGACGTCGCAATCATACCAGAACAGGAAGATGACCCCGATCCAGAATCCTCGCCCTCAAAAGATAACCCCAAGAGAGCATTAGCGACAGAAGATAGGAACAACGCTATGAAGACCGTTGGAGAGGACGATAGGGTAGATACTCCTCCCAGTAGAGAGCTCTCAAAATACGTCGTCTACAAGAGCCCAAATACGACCATTTACAACACGGGCCGAGCTCCTAGCAAGCCTTCAGATGCTTCTAGGTTTAAGCTCCCAGTCGTAACGGCAGAGGCATCTTCCCCCAACCCGCCAGGCAGAAATCCCCTCGCCTCTTCGACCGAGGCCATCAAAAGGAAGCCCTCCAGCCCCAAATCTTGGCCTCCCAGCAAAAAAACGTCCTTCAGGATCTATGAGGACGGAATCCCAACGTTGAGCCGTTTCCCGTCGCCCGGAGCGAATCCATGCGGCATCTCTCCTGCCCTCTCGAGCTCTTCAGGCAATTTCAAGCTAACTTCCAGCGTACCAGGAACCGGGAGGACGACCCCGCCGTTATGCCGGTGTGGCCGAAGAGCGAGAAGGTTGAGCGTTTCGAACGGTGGCCCTAATCAGGGCAGAACATTTTACAGCTGCCCAGTGAGAAAATGCGAAAAGAACTCCAAGGGTTGCAACTATTTCCGATGGGAAGATTTGCATATCAAGGAGAAAATGGCCCTTCCGACTTCAACTTTAGGGGTTGGGGGCTACAAGCTTTTAAAAACTCAGGACCCCTCCCTGGCAAATGTTAAAGCAAAGTGCTTGAATCTGCGGCCTTCCATGCGAACCTAGGCAGGATTTTTTCTTTTTTTCCTGCCTTTTATTGGGGAAATTGAGCATTTCAACCTTCAGAAAATTAGCTTTCTTTTCTACAGAGTGTAATCCTGTTTGGAAGCATCACCGAAGCTGCGTGTACATTTAGCAAATAGTCTCATCCCGAATGCCACAGATTGTCTTGTCTTTTAAGTGTGTACTTTCTCTTCTGTCTTCTAGGTTCCTAAGTTTGATTATTTTTTTTTGATTTTTAGGAATCATGTCTGTACTTTAAATCAGCAAGCCTGACTGCTGAGCAATTGCTTTTTAAAGAACTGGGTTGCAAAACCTGCATCATGCTTTTAAATGTTCTTTTAAAATATCCTTTAAGAGATTCTTGATTCGGAGAAGTGAAATAAAATGAACTCTTCCCTCACCCTCCCAAAAGACGAAGTGAAGTTTGTCCATTTTAATACCCTTCTCACAAAGTGTGTCAGCTTTTTAACTGTCTCCAATTTCCATAGCACAGCAGGAATAAAATCCCAGAAAATGATGCAGCTGCTTCAATGGGTGACAGACAGGGTGCTTGCTTTCACATTCTGGGGTATTGTGAAGCACTTTTTTTCCAAATTATATCTGAAGCATTGCACAGTGAGTAGATCGTAGAAATTTGCTGGCATGGATTAATGTGTGGTATGCACCATAATCCATGCCAGAAAATTGCCTGGGCTATAAAATTCACAGTGGCGATTACGCTTTCAGCATTCAAAAGATAAAGGAGGAATATGTTCCAGAGGTGGCATTCAGCAGGTTCTGACCAGTTCTGGAGAACTGGTAGCGGACATTGTGAGTAGCTCAAGAGAACCGGCCAATCCCACCTCTGGCCCCGCCAACCCCATCTATTCTCTGCCTCCCGAGTCCCAGCTGATTGGCTGGGTCTCCTTTGGTTGCCCTGCACAGGAGAACGGAGCTGGAAAGCAGGTTAGTGGGGTGGGGAGGGTATGGGGATTTTGCAGTATCCTTCCCCTGCCATGCCTACCAAGCCACGCCCACCAAGCCATGCCACACCCACAGAACACCACACCCATCAGGCCACGCCCACAACTGATCCGCTGGGTCTTCTTTGGTTGCCCTGCACAGGAGAACGGAGCTGGAAAGCAGGTTAGTGGGGTGGGGAGGGAATGGAGATTTTGCAGTAACCTTCCCCTGCCACGCCCACCGAGCCACACCCACAGAACCGGTAGTAAAAAAAAAAAAAAATTGAATTCCACCACTGATGGAATTATTTTAATTTGGAATTTGGTAATTAGCTGACATGCATGCAGTTAAAATTAAATCCTTGCTTTCCCCCCCCCTATTGATGGCTTGACTTTTACAGCATGTTAGCTAACTGTGAAAAGGATATGTCCAACAATGTTAATAGCTAAGCTTGAAAGCTAGCCTTTTTTTTAAAAAAAAAAGAGGGGGCTGTGATTGATTGTGGAGATCCTCAGATGTGATCCTAGCTCATGAGCGGATTAATTCTATAAATAAGTGATGAAAGGCCCCGTCCAACCTACCAGGTTTCATTCGCCCACCTCGTTCAATCATTAGGCAAAGTTTAAAATTGCCTAACGTTTCCCTAAGCAATTTAAAGAAATAAATAATCTTAACCTTTATTTCCACGATTCTGGGAATCATTCCAGGAAGACATTTGAAGTTTTTAGGGTCAAGTTTCACCTGCTTAGATGTTCTTTTTAAAGGCACATTTATCATTTAGGAGCGTAGGGGACGCAGAGTAACTCACCCATGGCTTGAACCCAGATTGGGGTGTACAGGTAGTCCTTGATTTACAACAGTTCATTTAGCGACCATCACAACAACAATGAACAAAGCGACTTATGGTCGTTTTTCACTCTATCGACCGTTGCAGCATCTCCGTGGTCACTGAGATCAAAATTCAGACGCTTGGCAACTGACTTGTCTTTACGACCGTTGCAATGTCCCAAGGTCATCCATCCATCCCCTTTGGCAACCGTCTGACAATGGGGAAGCCAGATTTCACTTCACAACCGTGTGGCTCGCTTAACAACTGCCGTTGCTTCCCTTAATATCCGTAGCAAGGAAGGTCGTAAAACGGAGCCAAATGCACTTAACAGCCATCTCGCTTAGCAACGGAAGTGTTGGGGTCTACCTGTATTTAAAGTGACTGAATTGGTTTTGGGAAAAAGAGTGGACATATGAGGCTATATGCCACCTGAAGAGGTATGAACTTCCAACTCCCAGAATTCCCCCATGCTGGCTGGGGAATTCTGGGAGTTGAAGTCCACAAGTCGCCAAGATTGAGAGTGGTGGTTCTTCAGGGCAAGGCCAAGATTCTGAATTCTGGGAGTTGGAAGTCCACACCTTTTCAAGTTGTCCAGGTTGGGGAACACTGTTCTACTGTAACAAACTACAGTTCTACTTTTTCAGCAACCTGGCTTTGGAAACCCATAGTATCATTGCTTCATTGAGTTGGTCAAAATGCCTCTGTGCTCTCGTATCAACTTTTGTCCTTTAAGGATTGGAAAGAATGTTCTGATTTATGTATTGTTTACATATCTGGGCTTAGTCATGCAGCTCCCTGTAGGTTGATGAAGCTGTGAACATCTGGGCTGGGAGAAGATACGGGTTTTTGGGGTCTTTCTCCAGGGTACGTGGTGTTCTTTTTCACTGTAAAATCAACATCTGGAACCAGAGTTGTGTCTTTGCTTAACCTGGCCGGCTACGTTGGGGTTTTGTACAAAGTTAAACTGGTGGTAAGTAAGCAACAGAGAGCTAGTTTGACAAACAGCCCATGTAGGGAACACATTTTTCGGAACTTTAAATTTCTAAATTTGGAGAGTAACGCCACATGCTTTTATTCCCGGAATGATTGCTCGCTCAGAAAGTAAACAGACGGGGAATTCTACGCTTGTCCCCATTCTTTCTTGCGCAATTCATTTCTTCTGATTTTCCCACTTATTGTCTTTGGCAAATGTGGAACGAACTCCATCTGTTGGGCAAGAGCAGAAATGAGGAGCTGGCAAAAGAGGAAGGACGTGTTGGTACATACAGCTGGAATGAATTCAGGAGTTGCAAAAGAGTGAAACGAAAGCGAATACGTACGACACAGCTTTTTTTGCCAGGGAATAACCTGGCATTCGGCTTGCATCTGTTAAAATAATCACCATGTTCCTCATTTGTACACCACTCAGTACTCAAAACTTTAATTTATACCAGGGGACCTCCAAAATTGGCAAGTTTAAGACTTGTGGACTTCAACTCCCAGAATTCTGGGCGGTGAAGTCCACAAGTCTTAAAAGTTGCCAAATTTGGAGACCCCCCTGGTATAAATGGTGGCTGGGGAATTCTGGGAGTTGAAATCCACCAGTCTAAGTTGTCAAATTTGGAGACTCCTGATTTATATGAATCAAAGTTAAGAAATAGCTTAACATGGTTTGCATTAGGCCATGTTCTAGGTCCCAACAGCTGTTTTCAAGCTATTCAAAAACGTTCATTTTTATTTATTTATTGCATTCGACATTTCATAAACAGGACAAAAGAGTGGACATCTCAGTTCAAATATTAAACCGAACTCCTGTCAATCTGCCTTAATTTCCATTTAGCAGGACTTTAAACCAAGCCTTTGTTACCTACCAAAGAAACTTCAACTACTACAGCACAGTGTGCTTTCAGAATTGTGCTGTTCTAAAGATTTCAGAGAGATGGAAACATTCCCTAAAGATCCTAGAATATTTTTTTTTCATTGATACCAGTGGAAGAAAGTATAGTAGTATATAAGTAGTCCTTGACTTACAACCATTTTTTTTTAGTGATGGTTCAAAGTTACAACACTAGATACAGATTAACAGAGTTGGAAGGGACCTTGTAGGTCATCTAGTCCAACCCACCGCCCCAGCAGGAGACCTACACCATTTCTGACAGATGGCAGTCCAGTCTTCTTGAAAGCTTCCACAAAGTGACTTATGACCGGATCCTTACAGTTACCACCATTCGGAGGAAATTCCAGGCAAGAAGCCAAGATAGCTAGACAAAGGGGGTGTCACACAGCTAAATCACAGCTTACCTTTCTAGGATATTTGTATGGGGCAGTGACAGTCTTGACATAGTCCTGTAGTTCCTTAATCAAGGCTTCTTGGTCATGGGAAATGTATTCAGGAGCCAAAACTACAAAGGCTTTCACCACCTTGAATGT